AGGCAATTGCAAGTGAGAGTTTCAAGACCAAGAGGCATATTCACTCCCAGTGTTAGGGAGCTCATCTGCCTCTCTAAACTCAGTGGAGAGAGGTTCCCTCTTTATGGCCAGCCCCTAAATCATTCCCAGGAGAGGTGGCAGGCACATACTGCTGCCTGTCCCAAATCCTCAGCGTTGCACTGTTGTCGGTCTCTTCACAAGTGCTGGTGTATTTTGGTTCAAAGGCAAGAGAACACATCTACTTATGTTGACTGCTGCATCTCTGAGGACACGTACTGTTAGTCCTGACAGGTAGGGATTTGTTTCTAGTGTTTTCATTTTGGTTTGACCAGATCTTAACAGAGGAAGAAAAGGACTTTCCCAGGTGGGAAACTTCCTAAGACATCTCTGAGGAAGTACTGCAATATTCTGGTTACTACTCAAGATGCCTTAAAAAAAATCCCATTTCCTCCTTTCTGAGAGGGTACCCTTTCAATAAGACAGTCATTCCATGCCACTGTCTCTGCTTTCACCAAGCAGTAATTATTCAGCTCTTAAGTTTCCTCCTAAATTCTCATTTCCAATTGCTTTTCTTGCTCTCTAAATCTTCTTCTACTCGTCACGTAGCTCTCCGGCAGCTGCGTGCTCAGAACCAAGCACAGCATTACCGCAGCTGTAGGAGATTCCTACAGCTCAAACTGCATTTTACTGATCTAAACCACTGTGACTCCATCTCTCACTATCAGTACCTTTTAACTCTACAGTTTTCTCTGCCTCTCTGAATACTAGTAGTCTAGATTTTTCCTTCAGCTGCTGGCTAATACAATTAGACATCTACTTTAAATTGTCTAAATACAACCTATGGCTTTCTTCCTCCACTATTGTCCAGGTAAATATCAAATTACAGTTTCTCTCTATCCTCTACGTTAGGACGTGGGAGGTGGACTATGAACAAAAAGCATTCACTTGCTTGTTGATGTTTCTGACTAATCGCTAACCCTAATCACTGTTACATAAACATCTGACACTTCTTAAATGCCTGTATCAAATACCTTACTAAAAGCCAGATCTGGTGTCTTTAGAACCTCTTCAAATTATTTGTAACCATCAACAAAGTCAGTACCTTTGCTTGCTAAGATATATTATTTCCCCAGCCTGCTAGCACATCCCTGGAGCTCTATCGCCTACCCGGATAATTACCAGAACTATGGCAAGTCCATTAGCTGATTCCCTTACTGACCAGTACAGCAAATTTTCTGGACTCCCACTGTGCTGCAGTAAGCTCATATTTCACAAATATTTTCTTACTTGCCTTTTATCAGTTACTGCATTACATCCTCATTGGTTTTCAACTCTCCCTCTTTTCAAGTATTTTTTAAAATAGATTTCCACCATTTCAGTTATCAATCTCACTTCGGTGCTCCTGTATTAATAGGCTTTTTTTATTCCTTTTCCCCTAGACATGTTTGTGAAAGCTCTTCTTTCCTTATCCTTCTGGCTGTTGTTGATTTATTGTTGTTGATGACCTTAGCTTTATTCTCTAAGGCTTAAATCTAGTCAGTTGATTATTTGCAGTCCATCTTCCTTCATTCAATGTAAGGCTACATTGCCACTTTCTGCTGCATACAGTGAAACTACAGAGCACTTGGCTACTATGACGCTTAACTCTTAAGACAAAATTTTAATGTTTTCTGAGGCTCACTCCCTGCCCCCGTGCTACTAGCTCACATTTTGAGATCTCCCAGTGCTGCTAGTATCACCTGGAGGGAAAAGGGCAGAGAAAATTCCCTTTGTTAGGTGCTGGATTGCTTCCTCTGCTGGGGCAGTGGAGGGTTTTTCTCCTGTATACAGCCAGTCTCAAGTGCTGCTGTTTGAGGATTAATCCATGACCTCTTGGAAACCAAAACTTCAAATCATTCTTCAAATTAGTTGCTTGTACCACACCACAGGAATTTCAGTGACTCATAAATCCTGTTATTTCAAAGTGAGGGAGGCACTTGAAAATATCACGTGGAGCTTGAATGTTCTAGCCTGTTTCACAGACCAAGTTCTTTTACTAATCGGGACATATTATGCCTCTTTGCTTGGATGTTCACCTCATGTTTCCTGTTCTAAAACAAGGTACAGTAAGTGAGATCTGTGAGTTTGCTGCTACCCTGTATGTATTTTTATATGCCAGACCACAGTACTATGACTTTCTGGAGAAGAGCCATATACCAAACAAAAAAGCAGTTGCAAAAAGTAAAAGTGAAGAAAAATGAAAGGGTTGTACCTAAAAGGAAGATGGTATTTAGCCACCTTTGTACTTGCAACCAACTTTGATATTAAGTATACCAAAAGCAGAACAGGATGAACAGCAAAAAAAAAAGAAATACAGTGCAAATGTTGGGAAAGATTGCTTTGATCTACTGACAAATTGTTGCTTATTTTCTGCAGTTTAGTAAGCCCACTAGCACAATACTATTTCTTTCTATTCTATCCTCTCCTTATCTCTGCCTCTGCAGCCAAATACACAGCTTGCCTTTTGCTAGTTAAATCATATCATATGGCTCTCTGCCATCTTTTTAGATGTTCAGAAGCCCATTTGGGATGAAACACCAAGTCTTAGTATCTCTGTAATAGCGATTTTTTAATTTTTCTTTGAGAGTGAGGAGATGATCTGGCAAAGTGCATTTATTAAAAAAAAATGATCAAACATGTTGTTTGGTTTTGGGTTTTTTTGTTTGTTTGTTTTTAATTTATTGTCATCTAAATTAGGAATACTTCCCTTAACCTTTCCATTTCTTAAGGGCAAGGTGACCTAAGACTTCAAAATTCCCTTGTCCCCTTAGGTCCCTGTAGGTTAGAACGATGTTTAAGAACATCTAGCCAATGTTCTTTTGCGTATGTACAGTAGATTGTTCAGATTTTTCATGGCCTTTTTTTTTTTCCCAGCAAAAGCACTTCCACTTAAAGTGCTTGCGTACTTTTGAGCCTTGAAAGCTCTTAGTACAGCTTAGCAGCAACAGCCTGCTGAGCTACCCTAAGAAAGGCTAAAGGTTTTAGTTCATCACTTAAGTTCAAGAGCAAGCTGCTTTCAGCTCTTATGTACTGCAGCAGCACTGAGGTACAGAAGCTCAAAAATCTTGCTGTGGCCTTGTGTATAAAGACACTTCAACTTAGTAAAGATAGCTTTGGCATTCGTCAGAGGTAGCCTATCCTAACTGTGACTTAGAATGTTCTGCTCTTTTTTTGTTTGTTAAAGTAGTCATTTAAGAGGATGAGCACTAGGAAAAAAGCACAGGTGATTTCAAAACTATTACTACTTTAAATGTAAGACAGAACCATCCACAGTCCTCTAAAACATGCCATGGGATCCTTAAGGTTATCAGCAGGACTTAATTCTGTACCTTTACCCCAAAATATACTCTTGCCATGCTAGAATTTTGCTTTAATACAAATAATAATATAAATTATAGGAACTTTAAAAAAACCTTGTAGCTTTCTCATACAATTGGGTTTGAGAATGACTAAGGCTTCACAAATGAAATACAGGAAAGGGTATAGCATGTAATAGAATGAGTTCAGACAGTTCTAGAATTCATCTGACAAACCAGACATGTTTTTGTTTGTTGTTAAATACTAACTTTTTACAAGAGATGGGGGATTTCTGCAACTACAGTGGCATAACAGATTTTGGTATGTTCCTCCGTTCCTGTGTCAAAATCTGAGTAACTGGCATAAACGATCCAGAGCTAAGTGAGCCCTGACAGATGTAAATGTCTTAATTTGTACAAGTCTTAGTACTGCTCTGGAGACCTTCATAAAAACACGCTTCATAAGAGTATTTTGTTTGTGAGTTACAGGAAGCCAGCACTGGGTCATTAACAACAACAAAACACAAATGCCTTATTTCATCTACAAAACTATCACCAGAAAAATCCATATAAGCAACACAGTACTATAGCATAACATATGCAAGTTTCTGGTACATTTACACCGAGCACACAGACTGAGGAACCTGGGTTTCTATTAAGCCTGCAGAGTGCCTACCCCTGGCCTAGCATCCTAAATGTTAAATTTCTTCACAGTTTTAGCAAGACAGTGTGCTATGGACCTTTGGCATGAAACACAGCTATAGTGAAGTTTTAAATAGGACCATGGGTTTCCACAGCAAGAACTGAAATGTTATCTTCAAGTGTTAAAGACACAAACAATTTATTTATGTATATCCTGGAGTAAACTTTTGCTTTCCTCTTAAATATGGGGTATTGTAATTTTTAAAACCATTAATGGGAGGGCCTGGTCAGAAACAAATGTTCTCTTCACTTGACTCTTGTACCTTTTCTAGAAGATTCCTGACCCCTGCTTTATCGCATCTTGGCAAAATGTACACCTTAATATCATTAATTCAGAAAAGGTACTGCTAATATATGCACTCAAGTGTTGAGAGCCAGACAACAAAATTCTATCAATTCACATAAATGTAGTAAGTAGTTTTGCAATTGCTTGCAAAGTTTTATCTAAGAGGGCTCAAAATAGCAAACCACAAGCTCATTCATGATGAATGCTTTCAAGGCTGTCCTCCCCAAATGTATTACATTAATGCATGGATTATGACCTCAAGCAGAACAACTAAAAAAAGCTGAATTGCATCAACTGGGAGAGGTGACAGAAGCAAGCAGCTAGGTACAGACCACACAGGAGCCCTCTACCTCCAAACACAATTGTCAAAGGCTGCACAAACCCTTTAAATAAGAGGCAAAAGACAAGGTGGTCCAACAACAGGCAGTCTTGCACTGCATCTGTTTCTTTCTAGCATTCTACTCACAGTAGGTTGTGAATACCTCACCAAAGCATTCCTACTTTTGACAAAGCCTTTTGAATACAGTTTTTGCCCAGAATTTCACAGTACAGAATATAAAAGGGAACTTCATTTTCCTTAGTTCATTTCTTAGATTTAAAAGGTCCATTCCAAAACAACCAAGAAGTTATAAAATATAATGTTCACAGGTTTATACCTGTGAATTTACTATTGCAGAAGACTTAGAGGTGAAACAAAAATTAACTCAAACAGAAGCATTTTATTTCATTACTCAACCACAAAATCGGGTACTTGAGGTATCAGAGAAGTTACAAAAACATATTATTTCAGAATAAACTTAAAAGTCCTAAACATTTAAGAGTTCTAATGGTGGTGGCTTAAGAGGAATCTTTCCCATCGTAAACTTTTTTGCTTCAAATTGTTTCAACTCTTCAGCTGATAATTCACTCTTTGGTGTAAATAACTTTTCTGCTGTAGTATTGTTTGTGACTGCAGAAGACGCTGATGTTATGTTATGTCCAGAGGCACTGGTAGTCTGTCCAAATAAAGTACTGCTTGAATGTGAGGGAGAAGCTGCTACTGCTGCATTAAAAGCTCCAAAGGCTGCAAGCGGAGTGGTGCTTGAAGAGTTTACAGCAGAAGAATTGCCAAACCCCGAAAACCCAGAAGTTCCAAAACCACTAGTTGTTTCAGAAGTTTTAAATGAGAAGGAGGCTGCAGATGGAGCTGCCGGGCTGCCAAAACCAACAGAGTGGGATACGCTAGGAGAGGACGTCACACCAAATGCAGGAGGATTACAACCAGCAGAAGAGCTCCCAAAAGCAGGGGTGTTTCCAGATGATCCACTGATGAGAGTGGAACTTGTTTTAAAGGAGAAACTGCTAGCACTGTTACTGCTGCTGTTCACAGGAAAGCCTGCAATTACAAAATTTATAAAAAAATGTTAGAATGTGCACACCTGTGATACTAAACCACTGCTGTATTTCAATAATGCAGAAGGAGAAAAACTCAAGAAAATGTTTAACTGTTGGCTCTTAATGTAGCAACTTACTTGACAACCCAAAGCTCGATGTCTGCTGTCCTCCAAATCCAAAGGAAGGCAATGGTTGAGTGACTGTGTTCTTTAATTCAGATAGCTTAAAAAATTCCAAATACATAAATGAAAACTAGATTCCAAAACAGGGAAATGTCTTTCAACAAATACTTGAAGCAAAAATATAGCTGCCCAGTCCAATTTAATGCAATTTAGACTAAGTTAGACACTGATCACTCATCACAATTGCATGCTCCTGCAGCTACTAACAAAATGCTTTAAGGCTATACACTATTCTCTGTAAAACACTCCAGAAACACAAATATATTACAATTCACAGATTTTTGTCTGGCAGTCAATGACCTGAACACCTCTTCCAGCTCTTGTTCTCATCTCTTACCTATTTCAATTAGTGCTTTATGACCCTATCTATGTCACTGCTTTGACTTAGTCTGTTCCCTCACCTTGGCACATCTAGTCTTCTGTGCTAAAGCCCAAATCCCACTTCTTCACCTTCAGCAATCATATTACCAAAACTTTAATGCTCTTCATGCAGACTCCACTTAAATCAACTTACTCTGTCTCCCTGGTTATTTAATATTGGCTTTAACTCAAGCATTCTTTTCTGGCACATCTAGATTCAAGTGTTTGTCACCTTCCCAGGAACAACTACCCTTTATATCTTCAAATTTTATCCAAACAGTTTCTCTCCCAGCTATCTATCAATTTCTCATTCTGGCATTACCAAAATGCTCTATTTATCCTAAGATGGCCTGGAGGACAATTCTGGTCTTGTCTGCTGATTATACCTTGAAAGAGTCAACATCAGCACGTGGAAGAAAAGGTGGGGTGGACATTTACCACTTACTATACATGTACTTGACTGGATCCCAGCTTTAAGCTATGGTTATTTTCACATGGCTTGCAATGATAGTATTCCAAAGCTGGGATCCAGCTGCTGCCTTGCTAACATGGAACCATCCTGAGTCACTACTTTCCTTAGTTAACTGAAGGGTTTTATAATACCCGCCTGCAATTCACTGATTTCATGATTCCAGAGAAAGGTGGATGTAAAGACCCAAAACTGTGTTCAGAGACTTTCACGTTCACCTGACTCAGGCAGTGCTAGAATATTCAGTCACATTTCTATCACCTATAAAAAACACACGGATGGAGAAATGGGGCAGTTTTCAAACTGCAGTCATTATTCTCTCATGTCATTCTTCCTTACACCCTTTCCACTTTCTCTAATGTTCCCAGGAGCATTCTAACTGCCAAGTTCTTCATGCTGCCAGTCAGCCAAACAGATGCTTTTCAAGGCTGCGGTGCCAGAATATAACACATCATAGCTGAGATTTTCGGAACAGTTCATAGATCTACCATAAAATTGCCAACGAATCTAAGAATCAAACACTTTCATGTCTCAGCTATTTAGGTGCAAACAAGGATGCCCTAAAAGGATAATGTATTTTTGGTTGTAAAATACAGTATCGTGCAATCTTCAAAGCAATACCTATCACCTATTTATAGAAAGGTAGTAGTAGTGTAGATAAATACTTTGATAACAGCTGAAGTTTCTGTGGAACATTTGCAAGCTCTCTTCATTAAAAACAAGGTGGCATATTACAACTACCATGTCTTAGAAATCTTTGTAACAGAAATTAATGTTGGCATTTGCAGAACAATTTGGCAGGATGTGTCTAAAAAAACCATATGCATCTAAGAAAAATTTGCCCAAGACTAATAAAAAAAAAAGACATCAGGAATGGAAACATTTTACCTTTCATTAACACTTACCAAAGCTGCTTTTGTCGATGCATTTAAAGCTTTCAACTGAAGCAACCGATTTTTCCATTGTTTTGCTAACTGTTGGACAGAATTTATCTAAAAGGGGGGAAAAGAAACACATGTTTTTATTATTGGTGAAGACTTAAAAAAATGAAAATAGAGTGATCTGACAACTAAACTGAAAGAAGATTTCTAGAATTAGAAAAGAACTTCATTAAGCCAACATGACAAGATTTTTGCTTTCCTGAACAAAAATTTCAGTTCTTCACCTTGAAGTTTATTAACACAGAATTCCTTTAAATTCTCTTACTGTTGTCCTTAAACTGTAAGTTTTAAGTATATGAGAACAAACTCTTCAATCCTTGTTTTATTTCTGGCCTGTCAATTTATGTGCTCACTCATTAAGCTGAAGTCCTAAGATTTACCTTAGTTTCTCCCACATTTTCAGAAAAAAGAATGCTCACTTTCAAAACACTATAATTCAGAACACTTTAATAGTATCATCCTAAAATATTTAGCTTTGCAGAAACTGACTTCCGTCATTTAAATCAGCCCCCTTAAACGTGATCCAACAGATTACAGCACAGAATATATGCTAGCAATAAACAGTACCTGTGTCCTTGATAACTGTGATTAAAGTATTAAACAAGAGACTGGAAAGTCTTTAAATAACTTTTCAGGAATTTCAAACCTGAATTTCCTATATTTAAGTTTATCAACATACCTTATTTGAAGCCTGGCCTAATTGAATTTTCCTTAACAAGTAAAACAAGTGATCTTTTTGTAAATAGATTCCTTAATTTTTCAAAAGAGTCTTACATCACAAACATCAATAATTCTTTTGTGTCTAGTCACATGCTGGAAGATCATGTTGCTTGGTATCAGCTCTTATAAACAGACTGGAAAAATTCAGATTTTGACACAGTTTAAGAATAGAAACATGCTTTGGAAAAGACATGTACTTAAATATTTTGTGAGACAACTGAGACAAGGGGAGTCAAGAAGTCTGTTTTCCGCACGTCAGAACTGTATCACAGTTATCATCTGTACACTGAGACTTTCATGAACTTGCACTCAGCGCTTCAGTGAGACCACAAATGTTTTGTTTTGTTGTTTTTTAATAGCCAGGCATAGTGTATTGTTTAATCATTTCAGGTTTTTTAATTGAAGTTTAAAAAAAAGTATCTCCTGTCTCTGAAATGCAATTCTCATAACTCTAAACACATGAAGCAAGAGTGGTGACAACTGCAGTTCCTTCTATAATACAGAACCATGGAGAAGAGGAAAGAGTGTAATGTCACTTGAATTAGTTTGTACTTGCATCTGTCCAACAGTCTAATTCCTTTCCTGGCACAACATTAAACTCTGCTAGCTTCCTTGATATTGATAGGACTATGAGAGAGGAACAATACATATTAATTGAGATATATTTATATAAAAACATATGTATTTTTTTTCTCAAAATGTATATAGTCCTTTAGAAGTATCTGCTATTTTCAGCATTAATTCCCTGCAACAAAGATATGTAAAAGCACTATATAACCAGCTATAACAATCAAAATGACTAACAGCATATGAAGTATTAAACTTTTGAGACAGGATTCAAATAACTTCTACAAATAACACACAAGAACAGGGACAAGACTAAGTCAAGGAGCGTCTAGCTTGAGAAAACACCATACATTTAACTAAGACTAGCTAAGTCTATTGCCACCACTTTTTGCAGGAGCTGATGTGTCAAGACACTAGGCCACCAGTTTTAGAAGCTCAGATCTGACAGTTTGAGCCTGTGATCTCAGACAGAAATAGGAAGCTATGGTAGAGCATACAGACTAGCAGTTATTTTTACATCCTATTCAGTGCACAGTAGTTTAAAAATATTTTGGCATTCTGATAATCTCCTAGAGTTTGGTAATTAAATAAGTCAAGAGTTGCCACCTGAAGAAGAGTAACAAGTCCGACCCCAAAATGTGTCCACATAAGTCAATGTTTTTTAAATACTTACATAGTTCTGAATGTTATTGTTTGCTCTGCAGTTATAATACTCCAGATGCAACTCCTCTGGTGAGAAATCTAGAAAGCCTGTAAGGACAGGAATAATCAAAAACCTCCAAGAAATGTATTAATACTTCCAATTGCCCTCTATAGTTATGAAGAAATGGGCCTTGGTACATTATCTGTAATAAGGCAGTCACAGTTGGAGACACAAAAAGGATTCATTACAGAGCTTCAAAGATGTGAATGTCCGAAAGGAATTTGCCATAATCCAATATTCCTTTCTGTTGCATCACAAGGCAAATCATCACGTTGCAAGTGGTTCCACAGAGGTACAACAGTGTGGACAAGTGTAAGAAACATCCTAAATAGCAGCAATACGTGACAACACTAAAAACACTACCTACCTGAGACATTCGGCTTTTCTTTCATCGGTGAATAAGATGAAAATATCCATTGTCCTGAAGATTCCCAAATTTCCATGTCTTTCACTACACATTCACTAGAAAACAAAACAAAATAAAACCACAGATGAAGGCGAACTTATATGGTCAAAACAAAACCACCAGAAGCAACTGTCTAGTTTGAATCCGAAGTCAGATTCGAATACCTGCTACCATTAAAATTAACCAACTGTGACACTAGTCAGAATGAACAAGGGAAGTACTTATTTGGCAAGATACCTAAATGTCCCTTCAAAGCATTTCACTTTATCATCTAACTGCAAATAAATCAAACCAGATCTTAAAAAAAATAATCCCAAAACACACAAAGTATTTTTCTAATCCTTGTGCGGCAGATGCTGTCATAGGATTTTCCCTGAAGCTGTAGATCATAATAAAATTTAAAACCATCTCAATACTAGACGATTTTACAATATAAACGAACATGCACATATTAAATAACAAAATTGGGGGGGGGGGGGGGAGGGGGAAGAGAAAAAAAAAGAAAGAGATGAGTGTTCCATATAAGTTTTTGGAAAAGAATCAAAAGCATAAAAATCCAGACATTGCAAAAGCACAGAAATAGCTCCATCAACAAAAGTAAATCCATATGTAAACAAACATTGAAAGGGTAAAAACTAAAGTGGACAAACAGATCACTACGTAGGAACAAACAAAGATTCTCAGTATTTCAGATGTTTGTAACACAATATAAACTCTTGTTTGAGAAGCTGAATAAATAATCTGTTAAGCCTTTTCTTAATGTAATCTTAAAAAAAATAATGGAAAGTGGTTCCAAAACCTTGCTTCTTCAGGAAACCACACTGCCTGTTGCTTCTCGTCACCTGCTTTGTAATTGCCTTGAACCTGCTGGTCACTCTCAGCTGACTCTAACATACACACATGTGAAACCAGGTTGCAGTAGTTTTGCTATTGGCAGAACAATTTGTTATCCTAAGTGTCAGGAAAACTAAGTCAAATAGTTCATTTTCTCGAAGAGTTTTGTTGTTTTTTTTTTAAATAATTGAAATGCTGTCCAAGGGGCTCTGACCCCTTATTTTCAAGTACTGAAATCTTTGTTTCCTTCCTTATCCCCCTGCCCACAACTTAAATACCATACCATCTTACTAACAGCACGGTTGTCTAGCTGCCCAACCCAGGTTCAAAACAAGGATCGCTTTCTTCCCATGCTAGTGTAACTCACGCGAACTAAATGAAGTAGTGTTTTCTACGGTTCTCACTACATGTCCCAGCTTCCTCCTTGTGATCGTGTCCCCTGCATCATCTCTAGTAAGTCAGTGAGCTTTTAGACTGCTCATTCTACATGCTTTCAGTGAGACAGGACTGTAACTTACAGAAGTCTCTCCTCTTCATCTTTATAGCCATCAGCAATATTTTGACTGTTCATTAATGCAGAGAATCTGTTCTGTGAAAAGTCTGCACTTCTGCTGCTGCCGCCCGATGATCCAAAATCAGAGGAGCCAAAAAATCCTCTTCCGTGATCTCTGCTGCCACCCCATGTATTAGACTTAAAGGTAGATGGCTGGATAACATTAGTGTATTTCTGGTTAGCAGTACCCCATCCTCCTCCTCCTCCTCCTCCTCTGCTAGTACCTTCCAAGGGAAAAAGAACAAACAACAATAAAAGCCTTAAATCATTAAGATATTAAACAAGACATCAACAAAAACTATAACTATCCTTGTGGTGGCAATAAGAAGCCTGCAAAGAAAACGTAGGTTTTTTTCCTAAGGAGTTAACCTGATTGTTTAACCTAGTGGTTTTAACCTGAGCTTAACTTAGTGGCTTGCCCAGGGTAGCTCTGGAATCAGAGGTAAGCGGGAACTCCTCCTCGCATCACCACGCCAACGACAACCAGTTAGCAATGCAGGAGAGGGACTGTTTCAGTTTTACCTACCTTGTTTCTTAAAGTAACTACCCCAGCAGGAAAAAGAAAAAAACAACCGGCATTTAACCCACAGTACATTTCCGTTAGGGGCTCCTGCCCACATAGCTACGGCAGCGGCTCCGTCGCACAGCGAAGACCTCCCGGTTACGCTCTAGGGCCTCGCACACGTCAGT